TGCGCCGCGGAGGAGAGGCCGGGAGAGCGGGCAGGCCGGGGGGAGCGGGCGGAGGGGGCAGGGCCGGCCGGAGCCCGCCTGAGCTTCTGGAGGCTGGAGGTCCAGCCCGGGGGTGGCCGGTTTGATAACGGGGAAAAACGTTCCCGTGGAAGGTGGATCAGGTCCCCAAGGAGACTGGGAAACCTCCGTGCCTCAGAGCTGCTCACAGCTCAGCTGGGCAAGGGCCTGGGCAGCTCTCCCAGTTTAGCTTGCTTGTTTTAATTGTATTGAACAAAATACCACAGGCGAATTCCCACAAGAGTTTTAACTAAACTGTGAAATACTAGGAGAACACTGCCCGGCCCAAGCTGGAGAGCAGCGGTCTGAATGCTGCTTTGGTGTACCTGCGTCCTGTGACACGGGGAATCTGGATGCAGCTCTGTGAACTCCTGACTTCGTTCTCCTAGGTTAGGTTAGTGGCGAAGGAACTTTTGAAAGGCAGAGAGTGGTGTTGAGGAAGTCTGCGAGATGCTGTAACTACACCGATAAGTACAGTTCAGGGTGTTTTTAGAATCAGAAGTCATAGTTTGCTTTTGGGTTTTTTTGTGACATTAAAGACCTTAACATCACTAAATTTTAATTACAACTTAAATTAGCTTAACATCTTTCTAATTTCATTTTTATGGCCCTTCTCTTTTATCGCAGAAAAGAATGGGCTTAGCAGAATGAGGTACAATTAGTTTTGTCTCTATAGTCTGTACCATGGCTGCATGGCCCTTCTTCTGATATTCACTCCCACTTTGTAACGTACACCAACAGTTGCATGCAGGTGCTGGGTTGCATATTCTGCTCTTTTAGAGACTGGTGTCTCAGATAGCTATCAGTGTCTTATACAGCCATGGTCACAGTCTTCTGCAAGTGCCCTGCAGTCTTTAAGCGGCCTCCCACTATCCTGTACAGTTTTAGATATTTAATTTGAGTTTACATCTAAGTGATGATAGAAAATAATTGGTTCGCCCAGTGTTAGCCAGAAAATCCAGAAGTAGTAGATCTCCGAAATCTTAATGTCCTGCTTCCTGGAAAAAACTTCCTCTTACAGCTTAATCTGCACACAGGCTTCGGCTCTGCATTGGGCTCCATTTTATGCCAACAGCATGGTACAAGGATAGAATGTGAAAAACCAGCAACTTTTGTTCCAAAAGATCTCAGATGAATAATGAAAAATGGCTCACTTCGTGCTTTTGAAGACTCTGGCAAGAAGTGGTATTAAAGCTGTTTTTCCCCCCACCCCAATCTAATCCAAGTGGTTTCTTACAGTAATTCATAGCTTCTCAGTTTTCTAGCAAGTTTCTTTACAGTGATGATGAAGAATCATAGAATCATAGAATCGTCAAGATTGGAAAAGACCCTTAAGATCATCGAGTCCAACCGTTAACCCAGCACTGCCAAGTCCACTGCTAAACCATGTCCTCAAGCACTACGTCTACCCTTCTTTTAAATACCTCCAGGGATGGAGACTCAACCACTTCCCTGGGCAGCCTGTTCTGATGCTTGACCACCCTTTCGGTGAAGAAGTTTTTCCTAATATCCAACCTAAACCTCCCCTGGCGCAGCTTGAGGCCGTTTCCTCTCATCCTATCACTCATTACTAGGGAGAAGAGACTGACCTCCACCTCGCTACAGCCTCCTTTCAGGGGAGCCAGGTTCCTTGCAGAGTGCTGAATTGGGCTTTCAGATACATCGGTAGATGATACATCAGCATATATGTTAGTGTTATTCATTAACAATGAAGTAACTAGGAGCCACATGAAAGGATCGTGAATGGTAGATTTCCCCCATCTGCTTTACATGTCTCCTAACTACCTTCCACCATAGTGAATGAATTCCTTTGTTTAGTATATTTTTTGTATTAGAAAAATGTATTTTTCGTGGAAGAAGATTTTTCATAGAACACTATGAATGATTAGAATTGTAAAACCATAAGCTAAGAACATTTAAATCCTAGATCTTGGAGAAATGTGATAGTGAAACAGTTCTAAGCATGGTTGTTTTGCTTGCTTTCTTCACAGAGTTATAGTAAACATAATTCATAGTGTCAAAGGATACCATTCAAAGACAATACGCTTTCTGAATGTGGCTTTTGACAGTTCCGGAGATTCTTTACTCGCTGGAGACCAGCAAGGGAATATATATGTTTTTGACCTGAATGGAAACAGGTAAGAGTATTTCTATCAAGACATTTTAATTGTTTTGACATGTGTAACATTCAGAGGTATGGAACTTGCCTGGACAGCATGCCACAGGTCTGATTTTAACCCCCAGTTTTCCATGAATGCGGAAATAGATAGCGGTTTTCTCCGAGCTGAAACTGCAAGCCCCTGTAGGCTCCCTAAATATTATTTTATTAGTTTAGCTGCTCCAAAAGATCAGTAGTTTGTAACTCTAAACTGAACAAACATCATTTTCATAGAACTTAAGCGATTAAATACTACCACAAGAAGTTATTCTTTGAACGGTGCCGATTCAATTAATAATACAAACCATGAATTACAATAAATAAGACCTAGTAGTGTCATTTGCAGAAATATATTACTCAGTCTTTTCAATTTTACACTACTGAGTTTTAATATTTTTATATTTATCATAATTAGATATGATTTTTTTTTCTCTTTTGAGTTATTTTTTTCTCTCAGTGAAATACATTGAAACCGATTAAGTTCTTACTTCACTTGACATCATGAACCGAAGTTTCCTAACACAAAGAGAACATATATTTTGAAATAGGTTCAACCTTGTTCAGCGGACAATGCAGGCTTGCACTGCTTTGGCATTTAATCTTCGCAGAAAGACAGAATTCCTGGTGGCTTTGGCAGATTATTCCGTTAAGTGCTTTGATACAGGTAAGGAGAAATTTAAAGGCTTTCTATCTGGATTGTTCTAAAAAACTATATAATTTTTGTTTCAATCTCAATTTTTTGTAAGTTTTTTTGATGGGAATCTTACTATGTATTTCATGCCATCTGCTCTTCCAAAAAAACCCCCACAGCTTGGGCCCATGGGGGTTATAGTCCTGTGGGTAAAGAAACCCTTTGCTTTGTCAAAGTTTCTTGTTCCCACTGAGTCGTGCAGGCATCTGTTTAACTGAAGTCTAGCACAGGATCACAATTACATGTGTTACCTTTTTTAAAGCAATTCTGTATGTTTGCTTAGAATGAGATGCTGTATGTAAATTCAAACAAAAATCAGTCGACAGTATGTTAGTTTGCAATTGAACCAGTTGTTAACTATATTTACAGTAAAATATTTGAACAAAGTGATAATATATACTAAAAGAACTACCAGTACTTTTGAGTATGCCAGTAGATCTGTATCCTTATTCAAAAGCGATGTCTAAAATTAACTTCAAAGGCCACAACTTCACACACAGCTGTGTGTTTCTATCTTGATTAGAAATTAAATAGTGAAAGGCATTGACAGTTCATTCTTCATAAGTCAATCTTAACCTATCAAAAAGTGCAGTTGTAGTGTCTGTTGTCATCTGGATTTACATCTATTGCAAAAGCAGTAGGAATCGCTTATCTACAATTTGAGGGTCTGATATTATTAGTGAAGATTTTAATGTAACACACTGTTTCCCAAAATACAGGAAGAGTCATAGTTAAGGTCTGAAATCTTCTGCTTTTTCTCCTTCTTACAACCACAGTAAGACCAAACTTAGATTTTGGATGCACTTAGAGAAATCTTCTTAATTATTCCACAGAGTCCTGCATGTTTATATGGTGCTGTTTCCGGATACCAAGTCATACTAAAGAATGTCTTAAAATATAAATGTTACTCACATAAGTCAGTATTGGGTAAACTATCCTTAGAGGTGTATTAGATAATACTTGGTTGGTGGGCTCCATCTCCTGCTTTCGAAGCCGTACTCTGTAATCCCATGTCATCTTCTGACGTGACAATAGCTTTAAGCTCTCAATTGTCTGTAAGCACAGCAGAAAGTTTGACTGTTAGGCTTCATGAGCTGCTTTATAGCCATTTCCCATCTTTGATGCCACAGCAGTAGGTCAGCTGGAACCACCCCATGGGCTGTCAGGCAAAGTACCCGACATAAATAGTGTAATTGCCACAAATATAGTTTGGTTCCTGGGGGAAGATTAGTGGTCATGCAGTCACAAGTGGGAGACAATGTAGTCAGAGGAACCATTTCCTTAGTATGCAATACACAGCATAAAAATGTTTTGGACTCTAAAAGAATTAATGAGGTGTTGCTTTCTGACTGTGCCTTTCTACAGTCATAGCCTGTTGTCATTAAACCTTTCTTCCTTGCACCTCTAAATAGCTGTGTAATCATCCATACATACTGTCCACAAGTAAAAACAAGTGGAGAATTCTAACTTGAACATTCGGTGTCAGCTTCTAGAGATTACTGCGGGTGTTCACATCAGATAATCTGCCTATGAGGCATGCTGAACTTGCCTGACCACAGTGTTCATGACTTTTTAAGATTGATTCTTCGGCTAAATTAAACAAATCTGTGCAAGTTGGCTTTCTATGTAGAACTGAGAATAACTTATGAAACCTGCTACTCAGAGATGAGGAGACGGTTATATTTCTCTAAGGTATAGTAACTATATGAAGACTGATACCTTTGTTTCTTGT